CAGGAGATGTGGAGAGCGCCGACCCCTCTGGAGATGTGGAGAGCGCCGACCCCTCTGGAGATGTGGAGAGCGCCGACCCCTCTGGAGATGTGGAGAGCGCCGACCCCTCTCGGAGTAGGAGAGATGAGGAGCGTCAGCCGGGACCCCCTCGGAGTAGGCGAGATGAGGAGCGCCAGCCGGGACCCCCTTGGAGTAGGCGAGATGAGGACCCACCTCAGGGGCTGCGTGCAGCGTGGAGTCCACCTCAGGAATGGCTGCAACTGGAGTCTTAAAAGTCTCTAATTCAGATAACAAAAAATCATACTCGGGGAGCAAAGAAAGGCCTGGGATAGAAAGTAAAAAATCCTCCATCTGGGTCAAAACTAAATCAAAGGAGGACGGGTTTCTTTTAGCAGAACTAAATAGTTTGAGAATTGTCTGATTAATATGAAAAATATCCTCAGGGGAAAAAAAAGGAAGGTCAGTATGAGTGGGTGTGGTAACGGGTGCCGCCCCCACCGGAAACCTGGAAGGTGAGGCGGCGGAACACGCCCCCACGGTGTCACAAAGAAAACTCTCCGGAGATACGGCCAGGCTGGGTCGAACAGCTGCGGCGCGGAGTGGCGGTGAGAGGCCGGATTCCGCCCCCACCAGGAACCTGGAAGGTGAGGCGACGGAACCCGCCCCAGTGACGTCAACCGGACCGGACTCACCGAATCGAACAGGAGTGGACCGGAGCTCCCGCGGGACGCTGGATCTCGCCCCGAAGCGATGGACCCCGCTCCCACGAAAACACCGGAACCAGCTCTGAAGTTCTGCTCGGCAGACGAGACCGGGCCGGTCGCCGCAGACTGCCTCCGGAACCGTCCACCGCGGCGGCGGCGGGACGGTGGATGGACAGAGACGGAGAGGAGCTCATCCATCACAGCACAAGGAGGGAAAAAACAAAAATGGTGAGTGTTGCCGAGTGAGAACCCTGCCCGCTGGGTTCTGTTCTGGTCAGGTCGTACTGTTAGGATTTGTGTCAGGAGCGAACCCAGAGTGCAGAACAGGGACTCAACTCGACAGATATACAAAAATAGGTTTTTAATGATAAATGAAAAGTACAAAATAAACGAGCTGACGGGGCAGCAAAACTTACATAAGCAAGGAAGGAGGCACGGGGAACTCAG